GGATAAATAAATATTTTACAATATTAAAGTTAGTTACATATTTATAACAAAAACCTTATTAATAACATGTTACCATAGTAACTAACTCAGTGTTTGAAAATTACATTTATAATTACTAATCACAATCGCGAAAGAACATGAAGTTGATACCAAAGCTAGACACGCAACAACATGTGGAGTAATGTGTAATTGACAACTTGAAGGACATCTTTACTATGTTTCAACGTTTTTAACAAATTCATCTTTTGACGGAATTTAACCCTTTTTCAGTTAATAAAGGAATGTGTATATATGCTAAGTTTTCAATCATTTTTTTTGTAAACTATAGTTACCGATAAAAAATAAAATAAAGAGTGTAGCTATCTAAGTGCTAATAGTATCGATGAGATTTGAATATAAGTGGAAAGTGTTGATGCTCATGAATGATTCAACTGTTGTTTTTGATGATACGCAACCATTTGATAAATTGGAAAAAGCAAAGTTGGAGAAGAATTGTTCACCTGATGGTCTAAGCTACTACGTTTCATCTATGGAGCATTTTGTTTCATGTTTGATTTCGACATGGCCTCATGAAAATCGGACGAAATCACTTGGAACTCATGAGAGATTATATTGGACCCAATGGGCATACTAAGCTATAGTTTTTGTCATATAATTTTCTTCAATGATTTTCTTAAAGATTAAGCTCTTTCTATCCTTCTTTTGTTCACATTATAAGTGATTTATAACTCCCGATTTGAATTGATCGACGTATAACACGTTCGTTTCTCCTTCATCGACATACACCATCCCCGTGGTGGTAGAAACACATTAATTGATCTCGTCTTTGAGTTTCTTTATTTGCTTTATCTTAGTCATTTTATTGCATTTTCATTTACGCTTATTTTATTAAACTAATTATTCGATATTTTTCGTGATATATTTGGATTGCTAATTAATCATTTGAATTCGTGATAGGATCCCCACCGAAACAAAAACTTCACTAACAAGTTCTTACGTCAAATCATATTTTATGATATCATTAACAATATCTAAGATTTTATAGATACGTGTCGTACAAATTAGAAACTATGAAATGTTAAACAAAATTATAAACTTTATAATCATGATCGATTAGATAAATTTTGTAATTATACCGACGAGTATGTTTCTTTGATATAAGTATTATAGTTTTTACAATTATAAGGAAACATTACTTTTTCAGAAGAATAAACTACTAAAATTGGTGATTAGAATAATAATGCACTATTGTTCTTGCCATGAGTGATCATCATGTGTGCTCGTGTCTTTTTTACACTCTTTGTTCCACTCATAGGTGACATGACAATTAGCCGTTATATATATATATATATATATATATATATATATATATATATATATATATATAAAAGTTCCCCGAGAACCCGAAAACTGAAAGTGAAGTGTTGGATCAAAAATAATTTGTTAAAACATAATCGTCATTTTACAAATCTCATTTAATGTTTAATTTTTTTGTGTTTTTTATTATATTAATATAAATGTCTAAAAATTAACAAAATAACTCAAATTTTCAGATTTATTTTAAAAAAAAATAATTTTCGATATTTTTAAAAAATTGAGATTTTTTAATTTTTTTTCAAAAAACATGAACTTTTTAAAAAAATGAAAAAATATTTTTTAAAAAACTGCATCTTTTTTTCAAAAAAAAAATTGCATTTAAAAAAAAACTGCATTTTTTTTTAGAAAAAAACTATATTTTTGTTTTTCAAAAAAATTGCATGTTTTTTTTTCAAAAAAACTGACTTCATTTTTTCAAAAAAAACTGCATTTTTTTTTTCAAAAAACTGTGATTTTTATAAAAAATTGCAATTTTTTTCAAAACCGCATTTTTTTAACAAAAAAATCAACGTTTTAGGTGCATATATGCATATTTTTTCAACTGATATATGCATATTTGTTATACTATAATATTCGTAAGTAATTATAAAAAATCTCATTTTTATTGATCAATCTATAAACATAATATAAGTATCTTATTCGATACAAAATAAAATATAAAAAAATACAAAGATTCACAGTGTTATCATTTCTTCATATCAAGATTTTCATATTTTCTTCAATTTATCACTTTTCACATCTTCAATATTTTCCAAAAATTCTTCAAAATCTACAGAAAAAAAATAGATTAATGCAAGAACATGCACATGTATATATCATGTAAGATTCATAAGTGATTATATAATGAGATATTCACATGTGATTGTATCTTTTAAGATTTAAATGTGAAATTCATAAGAAAATTTTAAAAAATAATTAACGAAGAATACTTACACAAAATGCATGTGTGCATATAGACGTAATTCATATGTGATTTACATGTGAATCACATCTGATTCACTTGTGATTACATGTGAATCACATGTAATTGACATGTGATTCACTTGTGATTTACATGTGAATTACATGTGATTTACATGTGAATCACATGTAATTCATATGTGATTTACATGTGAATCATATATAATTTATATGTGAATTACATGTGAACCAAATCTAATTCATATATGAATTACATATGATTCATATGTGAATAACATGTGATTTATATGTGAATAATATGTGAATCACATCTAATTCATATATGATTTGCATGTGATTCATATGTGAATAACATGTGATTTACATGTGAATCACATGTAATTCATATGTAAATCACATGTGATTTACATGTGAATCACATGTGATTTACATGTGAATCACATGTAACTCATATGTGAATTACATGTATATCACATTTGATTCATATGTGATTTACATGTTAATCACATGTAATTTACTTAATAAGGTTCGAAAAAAAAATCAAGATGAGAAGAAAAAAAGTTACACAAGGGATTTTCTAGAAAGTTGTGATTGTTGGTTCCAATATCAATCATGATAGGAAGAACCTATTACAATGAAAAAAAACTGCAATAACAAGTGAGAGCAAAAAAGAACCATAAATTATACCATTAATAAGAGCCAAGAAACTGGCATTTTTTTAATATAATTTGAAACAATGTTATGGTAAAACCTCAAATGTCTAATTGCTCCGAAAAACTGGGTATCATGATTCATGACGCAAAAATTCATGGATAAATAAACTTACAAATTACCATTTTAACCTTTGCAAAGGGCCACAAACATATATATACAAGTTGGAAAACCAAACAAACGTTTCAGTTTTCAGTTTACCTGATAGTGACAAACTTGTGTGTGCTATCTTTTACCCAATGTGCCCTTAGGTCAATTGTATTAGCAAAGTTATAGCTTTCAGATCCAAGTTTCTCTAACACTGTCTTGAATGCCCCTTGACTCATCTTCCTCCCTGCAATTCTAGCACCCTTGCGTTTTGTGTTCACTGGTAGTGGATACATAGATATGGAGGTGGTGCAACAAGTTGATTGCCACCCACCTACACCCCATTTGTAACAATGTTGTGTGACCCCTGTACATGAACAAACAAATATTGGAATCCATATTCCTCTTGATTGATTTTGACCTTTGATTCCCTGTTTTTTTGGTATAGAAGTTGCTTTCTTTAGTTTCTTAGCTCTTGGTTGTTTTGGAGTAGCACTCACTGTGGCTCTTGCTCCTCTCTTCTTTACAGAACATCCACCACCACCAGTGTCACTGCCACCAGATGGTGCTTGGAGGTCTTTAAGATTCATTCTGATTTCTTTTGTGGAATCAGGTGGTGGAGCTGGTGGCATCATGTGCATTGATTAGGAGGTTGAAGTATCGGGCATGATTGAGAAACTAGGGTTTCCATTGAAGATAACGGATATTAAATCAATGTAGGTTAAAAAAAATTAGAAATCAAATGCAAGTGCAAATAAATACTTACAGCTTGATGTGCAACAAAAGAGATATAAGGATGGAGAGAACTCAACAGTAAAATAGATTTGTAAGCAAACCATAATCGATTCATACAACAATTAAGTATGAATTGTTGATGATCAACGACAATTAAGCCTAGATCATTGGAGGATTTTGGATTCTATGTCGATTGATGATAACGACTATGAAATATGGATTGATTGTGGATCCAGATCTGAAGGTGAGAAAGAGACAACGAGGAAGAACTTGAGCGAGGAGGCGACAGACTTTGGAGGCGATGTGATGATAGAAGGACAGAAGAAGAGATCTCGCTCATCAGAGATGGAGAGGATTCTAAATGGTGGAGTTTCTTGGGGAACGATGGAGAGAGAGAGCATTGATATCAGGTCATTGTAGTGGTAGTTGAAGATGAAGATAGTGGTAAGCCGGTGTAGGTGGTGGTCGTTGACCTCTAAGGGTGGTCGGTGAAAGGCGGGGGGAGGTGGTCGTTAAAGGCATAGAGAGAACGTTAATAGAGGAAGCACTAAAGAACGAGAGAAAGAGGAGATGAGAGAGAAAGAAAGAGAGAGACTATGGATATTTCATTAACTGTGAATTGTTATATATATATATATATATATATATATATATATATATATATATATATATATATTTGGTTTAATTATTTTTAATTCCATATTTACCCTCATGGTATGTTGATAAAAACCTAAAATGTCATTGCATCCATTTATATTTACAAAAATGACATGATCAATCAAAGCCATTAAATAATTCAATCCAACGTTCCACCTTTAGTTCTCGGGTTCTCGTAAAACTATAGGTTCTCAAATTATCCTTCCCCCCCCCCCCTCTCTCTCTCTCTCTCTCTCTCTCTCTCTCTATATATATATATATATATATATATATATATATATATATATAAAAGTAAATTCAAATAAAAACAGTAAATAGTGTGAGAACGTAAAAACACTATGTTTTTGTTATTATTCTGTAATGAATGTTGTATATGTGTAGTTAATTCTAATATGAATATTAACGTTTGATTATTCCTATATTCATTAAAATGTTATTATTGAATTATAAATTTATGTATGTGTATTTTTGTAGTAAATTCTAATTTAAGTTTTAACTTGTGACTATTCATTTATTCATTGTTGAATAATGACATAAAGCTATGGAAATAAAATTCAGTACAAAATAATAAAATAAAAATAGTGTTTTTACGTCCTCACAATATGTAATGTTTTTATTTGAATTGTCACCTATATATATATATATATATATATATATATATATATATATATATATATATATATATATATATATATATATATATATATATAAAAGATCAAATGAGAACCCATAAAGGTTAAGAACCACTTCGTCAAGGGTATTTTTGTCTACCTACTTTTTTCTTACCATTTAACATCAAAGGGTACGTTGGGCGTACTAGGCTCAGAATGAAAACCCTAATTGTTGGGTGTGTCCCTATTTAAGGAACATGATGGCCACATTTCTGGTCACCATTTTCAGCCTTCAACCCCCTTAAAACCCTAATTCCCGTTCTCTTAGCTTGATTGGCCATTTTAAGCTTCTAAGTATTCTTATGGGATTCTTTGAGTGAAGAAGGAGCTGTGAAGAGAATAGAGTTAGAGCCCAAACTTTGGATCTGAGTTTCCCTGTGGTTGGTGCAACATTTGAAGGTATCAAGTTCAAAACTTTCTCATTGTTTTGATTTATGCATATTATGGTTTATTTTAGGGTTTGTGTCCCAAAAGCTTAAAGCTTTATGAGTTTGCTGAACTCCAAAGCCGAATACCTATCCCTTTAAGTGTCTTTAGTGGAGTGGACTCATAAAAATGGGATCTTGCACGTCAAAATCACCCCATGGATGAAATATGAGCACTTTGGTGAGTAAAAATTGAGATTTTTTGGGTTTTAGACTTTCTCAGCCATGCAAAGGCTTAAAGTCACAAGCTTTATGGAGTATAAGCCTTTAGTGAGTCCAGATCTGAGAGTATAGCTATGGTCTTTATAGATTAAGACCAAGAGAGTGGGAAAAGTAAGTTAGGGATGTATGGTTAGCGTACTCCCAGATACGTGTAGCGTAGTGTTAAAGATTCCTAATGCATGCATGGCGAAGTAGTACGCCCAATGTAAAGGGCTGTATGCCTAACATACATGCTTGATGTTGACTTTTGTTGACTTTTAGGATTTGGTTAAATTGTGGACTTTAGAGGCTATGGGAGGGTAAAATGGTCTTTTAGAGTGTTACAAGTTGGTAACAGAGCCTTGGTTTAAGGGGTTCGGATGTGCCCTCAGGTATGTCTGCACTCAAACTGAGGAAATTGAGAAAATATTATAAATGAAAATGATTTTTCTAAAATGAGTAAGAGTTTTTAAAAGAGAAAAAGAGACAGAGCAGTGTGTACAATCAGCCACAGCCCGAACGGTGATTTCCCAAAATACCATTATTTGTTTATATTATGAGATATTAAAGCTGCATACTAGCGAATAGGCAAAGTACTTCAGAAATTAGGGCTAGAGTTGTCTGATTCATGATGCCTTAGCCTAGGGTATGCTATTGATTAATTTTATCTACTGTTTGCTCTGTATGTGTAATGAGTAGGGAGAAACATAGCATAAATCTTTAAAGAGAGTTTGATTAATCTGGGAGAGATACCTAGATGAGCAATGAGGAATCTACTGAGAGAGTAGTTGAGATCCATGAGGGATAGAGTACTGTGAATTAGGATCCTGGGAGGAGGACTTGATACGACTATAGATTGGTGTGGAAGGTAGTATTGGGCCCGTACTATTGAAAACATCGGATCTATATGCAACCCAAGTAAGAATCTTAGGATGCTAAGGAGCGTGTAGGGGTGGGTAATCGAGTGAGTATGTGTATTGAGCTAGTATCTGATGATTTTGTATTTCTGTTTTAAAGACACTACGGTGATTACCCCGAAACAACCCCGGGGGCAGTGGTGCTAGAGACGAGGAGATCCACAAGATCATTCATGAGGAGGCGGCCGCAGCTATCTGAGAGGCCATACCAGAGATGTTTAGGTCTATTAAGACCACATTGATTGAGACATTTGATGAAAGATACACTACTGTTACGGAGGCTGCTGCTGCTGCTGCAGCCACCGCGGCCATAGCTACAACTAGGCCACACGGAGGTGACTCGTTGTTTTTTCGTGAGTTTAGCAACACAAAGCCACCAGATTTTGATGAGATGCAGGATCCGATCAATGTCGTGAAATGGATCTCCGACATTGAGGGGTGTTTTTATACGTGCTCATGTCTAGAGAATCTGAGAGTCCGGTTCGCGTTGAACCAGCTTCGCTTGGGAGCGAAGGACTGGTGGAAGTTTGTGACGACTAATTTTACCCCTGCAGATCATGCAGTAGTGACTTGGGAGAGGTTCACTAAGTTGTTCCGAGAGGAGTATGTTCCCCAAGTGGAGAGGGAACATTTGATACAAGAGTTTTTTGTCTCTTAAGCAGAAAACAAAGTCAGTGACTAAGATTACGAAGATGTTCCATGAGAGGGTGTTGTTCTGCCCTGAGCACGTGTCTACTGAGCAGGTATGTGTGAGTTGGTATTTGAGCATCTTTAGGAGAGACATTCGGGAGTTCGTGGTGAACTCGTCTTATTGAACATTGGCTGAGTTGCAGACCAATGCCAGGAGGAGAGAGATTGAATTGGAGATTCATACCAGGGAGGAAGGAGAACAACAAGGGAGAGATAGGAGATCGGTACAATCGCAGTTGGAAGCTAAGTGGGCTAAGCCTGCTGATTCGAGAGCTGGAGGCCAGAAGGGCCGCACTTGTAGCAAGTGCGGCAAGAGCCACGAGGGGTCTTATCAAGCAGGGATTTGCTACAAATATGGAAAGGAGGGGCATATGGCGAGGGACTGCCCCAAGGGATTTTATTTTTGCTTTTACTGCAACCAGATGGGCCATTGGAAGGCTGAGTGTACCCAACTTACTTAGGGATCAGCCCAGGCTGTTGCTCCTGCTGCTTTACGTGTTACTGATGGCTAGTCAGGAAGCCCGAGCCTCCGAGGGATCGTGGGAGAGCATTTCAATTGACCGTGGAGGAGGTCCGTGCCGCCGCCTGATGTTGTTGCTTGTACATATCTCCTTATTTTATGTTGTTTTGAGATTTGTTTATGCTTATATAGTGTTGTGTATAGATACTTTTCTTGTGAGTTCTGTGTTGTGTATAGATACATTAGTGTCACACGAGTGGCATTGAGTCGGCCATTGAGGGTTTCTATAGCCGAAGAGCTTGCAGTTTTTGCCACTGATGTATTCTGGGGATGTGTATTAGAGATTTTCTGTGTTGAGTTCCCGATCGATCTGGTGCCGATAGCGATGGATGATGTCTGTGTCATAGTGGGCATGGATTGGTCGAGCCAATTTGGAGCTGTGATTGACTTTTAGCATCAGATGGTGGCCATACAAGACCCTAGTGGGGGAGTTCTTACTGTATGGTGAGGGGACCAGATTAGGATCAGCTTTCTGTTCTGCCACTAGGGCGGAGCGGAGTTTACAGTAGGGATGTATGGGATATTTAGCATATGTGATAGATACGAGGGTTGCCACTAAGAGGCCTAGTTCTATCATCGATTGTCCAACTATGTGTGAGTTCCCATATGTTTTCCCCGAGGAGTTACCGGGTGTGCCTCCCGAGAGGCAGGTGGAGTTCCGGATTGATTTGATTATGGGTGTCGTGCCTATTGCTAAGGCACCTTATCACCTTGCACTACCCGAGATGCAGGAGTTATCCTCGTAGCTCCAGTAGCTGCTGGGGAAGGGCTTTATTAGGCTGAGTAGCTCACCGTGGGGAGCGTCGATCGTTTTTGTCAAGAAGA